TGCTGAGCCATCAAACTGCAGATTCCAGTTTCTAATAATGGATGTAATTTTATCAGATGTTAATGAAGAATTGTAGCTTGGAGTGTAAGTCCTGGAAGTTTGTGGAAGATCGTTGCCGGTTGGCTGACTATTGAGAGGTCGTTGCGTTGAAGATAAATCATTGTTTGGGTTAGTCGTATTTCGACGGATATCTAGATTTTGCAAAAGTTTGCTTATGCTTGTTTCTATCATTCGGTTTATAAGTCCATAATCTATATTATTGTTAACCTTAGGTATATTGGGTCGATGTGAAGTTCTTGGATTTGAACTTGGAACCAGTACCCTATTTGCATTAGCTGTTGTAGCATTCTCTTCTGCAGAATTTGGAAAGCTATCGAATACATCAGGGAGTAATAACTGATTTGAATCACATGATGTGTTTCGAGCTGAGCTTCTGGTGTTGTACTGCTTAGCCAAAGCGCCACGTCTTTTCCCTCTATTAGGGTTTGATTTCTGCCTCTGCGATTCTTGAGAAATATTATGTGTATCATGGTATTCATTTTGGATTAGGTGCAATGTGTCATTTTGAGGGTTCATAGAACGTAATTCTGATAATTCACAAGGACGAGTGCAGGTGGGACATTCCGTTGCATTTGAGAGGAAATTTTCAATACAATTTCGGTGAAATGAGTGATGACATTGAGCAATGTACATACACTCTTGATTTTCCAGTAAATTTTCATTGCAAATGGAGCACGTAAAATTTGGTTCATTTGACACAGAAATGGGTAGAGGAGGAGTTCTTGATAGAGCCATATTTATGAGTTTTCGTAAAATACAATTTGGAAAGTTAAAATAAAGACGAGTTTTATAATGAAAAAATAGTATCAAAGTTTCAGTTTTCGTATCAGTGGGTGTGGACCTGAAAATTAAGGTAATTGAATGTGCTGATAAATTTATTGGCTATGTTTGAAAAATGTAAGAAAAGTTTTCTAGCTTAAGAACAAACCGAAGTTTTCTTCTTTTCCTATATACTGACATTAGTGGACATTGCATTGCATTCAGCTAAAAGAATTTCCAAATAAATGCCGTACTCGGTAACTAAGTTCAGTTAAACTAAACCACTCTCTAACATTGGTATATAAATTTTGGAGTCTTGATATATTAGCGAATTATAGACCCAGAAAATTCAACGATGACACTAAATGGTCAATCTAATCGAGTAAAACTCAAGCAGACGAGGTTCCTAAAAAGTTCAATCGATGTATTCCCAAATCTACTCTTAACTGATACATAAGATTGTGACTATTGCATTCAAATGTACTCTATGTAGGATGGACTGGTATTTGTTTGGGAAGAAAATACAAAATGCATTTCTGCCCCACGTTGGGCGCCATTTCTGTAATAAAACCTTTTCTTGTTTGCGAGGAACCTAGATGAGACCGATGAAAGATGGAAATTTTAAACTTTTGTAAGGTATCGCCAGTGGAAGATAGTTCACCAATTAATTCCGTGGATTTAGGACTACGGGAGCCATTGTATTCTAGCTGCAGTCGGTCTTGGGGGGGTTATGTCCTGAGTCCAACGAAATGGATTTAGTTTACAGAATATTTTATAGACTCCCTATTTTTTTGTGAATAATTAATAATTTTGTGGCGGATACATTCAATTACCTGGATCTCAGATGTCTTGAGATCAGCGCATCCTTGCCCTCCCTTACCTATGTCCCTTGTGCGCTACTTTAAAGGGTCCCCAATATAATATTTGGTCACACACTACTACATCTTACGAAAACAATGGGTTATTTCCTTAGAAATTCATATTACCATATAATTTATTCAAGACATAATTTAAATTAAATGTATATATACATATATAGAAGATAAATAGCGGATTAATGATAGAATAGAATACTTGTAATTACGCTCTTCCGATTTTTTTTTTAAATATTTGTATGCCCTAAGGCCTGATATATTAAACAATTTAATTACATTTTTTTTTCAATGAGTTATAGATGTTTACAAAAATTTTATTTTAAAAGTTATATTTTAAGATTTTTTAACTTACGATATTTTAGGCTCAATATTTTCTGACATGGTAACCCTAAATATGTATGAATGGCTAGTTATGAATGAAGAATGCAATTACATTCAATTTCAATTACATCAACAAAATAACAACAAATGGATTGTGCGTATTTTACATATTTCTTTCATTCATACCTTGCGCAAACAGAAACAAGAACAAATTGATCACAAAAAGCTACAAAATAATACCAGTCGATGGTTGATCAGAAGTAAGAACAATTTTGTTTTTGTTTCGTTCTTCTTTTGTACTTTGTGCAAAAACAACAAATCGATCGATTGATAGAAGCAACAAAAAGGTAGGAACTATTTTATTGCTTCTTCTTTCATTTATGTTTTAAATAAAAATAACCAATGGCAATTACATTAATGATCATTACATTTACTCACCAGAGCGTCTAACGTTCTCGAAGGCCTTCATGAAGTTGACGATTGATGATGATGTTCGTTTGTTAAAGTGCACAAAAGGTTATAATTATGTTGCGTGATAATTTATTCAATACTGGAATATGATCTACGGACTTTTCCTATTTTAATTAATTAGTTTAAGTTTGAAAATTTTAAAGTTTGATTTTTTTAGGTAATATTATTTTTCTTATAGGATTAATTTTTAATATGTAATTATGAAGTTAAGAGTTCATATAGACTTTTGAGAAAGGAAGATAGTAATAATCATAAGCTAGTATATTTAGATTGTAACTAATTTTAGATTTTGTTTTTTTTTTTTTTTGAAAATTAAGGTTTAAGTTTCTTATGGCTTAAGTTGCCTACTGTACTTAAAATTTGTGTTGTAAGGTGCTGAATAGTATGTGAAGCTGATGACTCGGATTTTAGGTTGTGTTTTTTCTTTATCCGAGAACGGCAGGGTTCTTCAAATACCTGTTTAAAATTACAGACTTAAATTTCTGTTTAATGGCCGACTTCTTAGTCCAGGCATTTAGCGCCGGATTTATGGCCAGACCAAAAGCCTTGGTTCTTGAGAATCTTATTGTGCAGAGTTTTTGAAGCGGGAAAACTTTGTTGGATGAAATAAATTCTGTGGTGTCGTTTACAGCTTGAATTCAGTATTTAACTTTTGTTTTCCAAAAATGAAGATCCATCTCCACATGGTTTTGGAGAACTTGGACACCATGAGTTTGCAAGATATTCCGAATATGGATTGGTATTCACTATAATTTGAAAATTATTTTTGGATTTAAACTTTTTCACATTTTCCACTTGAGAAAGCACGAAATAATTGAATCTTTACCTCTAAATGTTTTCACCACAGAAGTTTGAGTAGCTTTTAAAGAATTCCACTACTTGATTAAATTGGAAAATTTGGATTTATTACTTAACTTTTATTGGTTTTCTTAAGTGTTCTGTACTGTTCGTAGTATTGTAAGAAAAGGAAGCCTCAATGGTTCAATAGTTCTTTCTATGCCTCTTTTCAGTTGCTTTTGGTGATAATGAGGAATTGAGAGAGTGACGATCGATAACTGGGTCTGTGTTTAATAAGTATTTCTGTGAAAGAAACACAAATTAGTTTTTGCGATTTTAGGGTTGCCCACGAGTAACCAAAATAATTATTGTGAATTAATTATTAGAAATAGAGTCTAAAACCATACATTACAGGATGTCGGATATTTTTTCTGTTGATAATTGAAAGGAATTTCCACTAAAATTAATATATCATTGGTAATAAGAGTTAGGTTAATGGGCTGGTTTTTGTGTTGGCAATATCTAAGGTAATCAAGAAACAGTCACCATCTTGGATAAAAGTAATCTTCGACTACACCGGATCACTGCTTTGTTGCGTAATCTGCTATTTCTCCATTTGGTCCCCATAGTGTTATTTGGTTACGAGCGTTGAACTCAAAAATTAGTTTTTCTCTCACATTCGTCGATAAACTATGAGAACCTCCAATCCAATTTCCTAGCGAAAAGGCTTTATTTGTTGATAAATATTTTCCAAATCCAATAAGATATTCAACATAGTGTCGGTTAAGTCTTCAAATTCGACATCCTTTCTCTTTGTAATGCGTTTATCATTTTTATGTAATTCTCCGAACTTTATTTGTAAGTACTGCCTAGTTATGTTGACTAATTCATGTTCATATTCGTTGATGTGACTATGAGGAATGTCCCATTTAGATTCAAATATGTGGGATCATGCCTCATAAATATCTGAAATAGTGTATCTGAAAGATGTATACATGGGCATGAATAAACTGATATTTTTAATAGCTGCCAAGCTTGATGCAAATAGTGTTTGGGTGTGCCATATCGTAAATCAGAATAAAGATTAAACGACTTTGTTAGGTTGTATTGATCTTTATCCCAACCCCTTTCCAATGCTAGTGCATACATTACATAATTTTGATTAATGCCTTCGTGTGTAATGCCTACACCCACCATGGAGTTGTTGGCTTTTGATTGGGCATGATTTATATCTTTGTTGATTTTTTCAGACGAACCATGCATCCCCAAAGGACCTCCGAAATTATGGAGCATGCACCAAATAAAAGGCTTCCATAAAAAAAGTTTTTTTTTTTTTTTCATACAGCGTGAATTGTTCACTCCGCAAATCCAATACTATAACGAACCTCTTGGTACAGCCGTTGAGAATGACTTTATTTGAGTGTTTTTCCTAAACGCGCGAAGAGGCTTTAACAAAGGATTTATTTGGAAAAATCCGCTCCATTGCCACGGGAATATAACCGGAGAATGCAGGAACAGCCACCTTCATTCCAAATGCCCTCTGTCAAGCAATAATTTTTCGTTGCAGTATCATTTGAATTTTACGTAAGGTAGATGGCATTTGCCCCGCCCATCCGCGAATATTGCCCATCCGTAACCTGAAAAGAGATCCATTAACGAATGTATTATGCGTTTGAAAGGTAAGTTAATATTTGTGAGATGGTGTTAGCGGGAGAATCAAATTGTAAGACATGTCGGTTCGTTTGTCAGTTGAATTTTAATTTTATTGAGAAAAAAATATATTACTTAAGTGCTAAGATAAAACATATCTCAAAGGGCGGTTTAATTTTATGCTTCTGCTTAAGATTACAACACTTGACATTTCTAATTCTTATGCAAAGGCCTAACACAACACACAATTGTCGTGATCTATATTTACTCCCCAGCTGAGGGCATGTTTATGTGAGAATATTCTTTATTATCAATGCGTCTCCAGCAGCATTAAAGTTTATCATCCCTTGTGTTCATATCATACATGCGCACACATCTACAAGCAGTTTTTATTAGGTTTTATACATTTATTAGCAAATATGAAACCATCAAATTTTGTAATTCAATCCAAGAAACCATGAAGTAAACATAAGTGAGAAATTTAACACTACATGCTTAAGGACTATTGTGGTCTCCATAAATCCAAATCAAGAAGTCAGAAGAAACTAATAAAAGTAAAGAAAAAACAAATAATTTTTTTTTTAATTTATAATTATTTAATTTTAAAAGATGAACTTACCACGCATTTCTTCCATTGTTGACAACTTCTACTACTCGCAACAAAATTTATAATCATTGAAACGAATTACCATTTCAAAAAAATTTTTTTTGATGTTTGGTATGCATTTCCGCTTGGGATTGTCGGATATATTTTCCGTTGATAGTTGAAGGGGATTTCCACTAAAATTAATATATCATTGGTAATAAGAGTTAGGTTAATGGGCTGGGTTTTGTGTAGACAATATCTAAGGTAATCAAAAAACAGTTTCCATCTAGGATAAAAGTAATCTTCGACAACACCGGACCACTGCTTTGTTGCGTAATCTGCTATTTCTCCATTTGGTCCCCATAGTGTTATTTGGTTACGAGCGTTGAACTCAAAAATTAGTTTTTCTCTCACATTCGTCGACAAACTATGAGAACCTCCAATCCAATTTCCTAGCAAAAATGCTTTATTTGTTGATAAAATATTTTCCAAATCAAATAAGATAGTCAACATAGTGTCGGTTAAGTCTTCAAACTCAACATAATTTCTCTTTTTAAACGCGTCTATCATTTTCTTATATAATTGCCCGAATTTTATTTGTAAGTACTGCCTAGTTATGTCGACTAAATCGTGTTCATATTCGTTGATGTGACTATGAGGAATGTCGCATTTAGATTTAAGTATGTGGGACCATGCCTCATAGATATCTGAAATGTTGTACCACATAGAATCATCAAGATGTATAGATGGGCGACGCGCAATTATATATTTTCCATGTATTTTCTTTAATCCATTGTATGAATAAACTGATCGTCTTAATAGCTGCCAAGCTTGGTGCAAATAGTGTGTGTGGGTGCCATATCGTGAATCAGAATAAAGATTAAACCACTCTGTTAGATTATATTGATCTTTTTCCCAACCCCTTTCCAATGCTAGTGCATACATTACATAATTTTGATTAATGCCTTCGGGTGTAATGCCTACACCCACCATGGAGTTATTGGCTTTTGATTGGGCATGACTTATATCTTTGTTGACTTTTTCAGACGAACCATGCATCCCCAAAGTACCTCCGAAATTATGGAGCATGCACCAAATAAAAGGTTGTCCATAAAAAAAAAATGTTTTTTCATACAGCGGGAATTGTTCACTCTGCAAATCCAATACTAGTAACGAACCTCTTGGTACAGCCGTTAAGAATGCCTTTATTTGAGTGTTTTTCCAAAATGCGTTGTTATTAAACATCCAACTCTGCAGAAGCCAAACTGCATGGTGATCAAGAGCATGCATTGCCTCGAATATATATTTAGCAGTATTTTTTAAATATTCAGGATCGGAAGATTGTGGCTTCATTTCATTAAATGGGTCGGTGAAATATATGTGATCCGTGCCATAAGTAGATATTATTTTTTTTAAAAATGAATCCGAAATTTCACGAAATAACGGCTCAAAAGGTTTTATAAATAAGGAGCAACAGTAATTATCAGAAAAGTTATTCCAAGAAGAGGCTTTAACAAAGGATTTATTTGGAAAAATCCGCTCCATTGCCACGGGAATATAACCGGAGAATGCAGGAACAGCCACCTTCATTCCAAAAGCCCTCTGTCTAGCAATAATTTTTCGTTGCAGTATCATTTGAATTTTACGTAAGGTAGATGGCATTTGCCCCGCCCATCCGCGAATATTGCCCATCCGTAACCTGAAAAGAGATCCATTAACGAATGTATTATGCGTTTGAAAAGTAAGTTGATATTTGTGACATGGTTAAATGAAATATGGTACGTAAACAAGTAAAAAAACATTAAGTTCGGACTGGGGTAACATTCTATATCCTTTAGAATGCCTAAAAGTAAGCATTTTGATATTTTTTATTCGCATTTGTAACACAAAAGTCTTTTTAGGCCAAAACAGCATTACATAGTAAACATCTCCGAATAAAAACAAGCAAAGAACGGCTAAAAATCAGGCGGGACCTTATACTTTACACCACTTTGCATATTTATTACGACTAAACGTTTCTATGGTGAATTTAGTGATTTTACATTTCTTAGGCACAGTAAAACTGAAATTGGATGAAGACATGTATAGGAGATATATCCAAATCTGAACCGATCTCTATAAAATTAAGCAGACGTATTTCTTTGCTGAATCTGAAAGCTGGTATAATACTGGTTGTACAAAATACTTTGTACATACTTTTGAGTGCGGTTGAGGCGCTGGGAAAATGTAGCAATAAAAAATAAATGTTCTAAAATTAAATATTTCCCAGCCGCCATAAAATATCACATGTGAAGAATTCGGTGATCTTGTGCGCTGACGCATACGATAATGCGTGAGATAATAAAGGTTATGACCCACACGCACACATATGTCAGTAGATGCACAAGACCACTTGAATGAGATGTCAAGTAGCCCTGCAATGTTCTCCATTCAATATTAGATTAGATAAGAACAATTGTGTGGCTGCGACTAGGTTAAGTTAGATTACTTTCAGTAGTACGTAAGGGAAATATTTTTGAAATAAAACTAGAATTGAAATAGCACCCTAACGAAGCGGTCGTGTTTCTTTTCTCACCGAACACAGAATAGAGTTGACAATCGAAGAGGGAGATTGGACTCTATTCTACTTTACACTGGTATTTCTGAGCTAGATTCGTCATATTTCAGTGAATATCGTTGTTACAGAGTGCATAATGACTGTTGTGAAAGACAAAAATAACAAATTAGATTAAACGTTTATATGGGAGATATAGCCCTATCTACAATTTCCACCTAATTTGACCCAATTATTTCTATGTTAAATTTGTCGTATAAGCTCAATTTCATCCTATTTGGGCTAATATTACACATTTGGGGCAATAGATGCGACCTGTACTTTGTTTACAAAAATACATGGACATACGGACATGTATAAATCGACTTATTATGTGATTCTGTGCAGATCATCAAAAGGAGTTATGTCTATATCTAGCTTCCTTCTCCATGTTACAAACAAATGCATAAAGACTTAATACCCAGACTATAGTGTGGTGTAGGGTATAAACTCAAGTGGTTTTTCATCCACGCTTACTGACCTCGATTTAATTTTATCTAACACAACTACAACATACTTGCTTCTCGCGCACTCAAATGAGTGTACATTACTAACATCTTTAATGTCAACATAAATCACTGCAACCACACCAGTACCACCATCTAATGCAAAATTGTTCAGCGCATCCACATCACCGCCATAAATTGCACTATCAACACCGTCATAATATGCACCTCTCTTCCAATCAAGGATTTAGCCCTGTTGATATTTTCTAAAAATACTCCAGTTTTCATCAGCGCTATTCCATTGAAAAGCTTAATATGGCACACCTCTTAAGGACTGAGCGAATACAATTTCTCTGTTATTCATCCATTTAAGTACATATAGAAATAGTTCTTCAATCAATTGGCAGTGACGTCACTAGTTGAGTAGAATACGGATGTGTCAAATTTACTCAAAGTTTGTTGTAAGCCGTTCCAGTTTATACTATTATAATCCTTGTACTCTACTACTTCGTTCAAAGTTCTCATATTGATTTCAAAAGAAGCAAAAATTAAAGAATGATGTAATGAAGGGACATTGTGCTTGATTACAATAATGTGGTTTCAACTGTCACTCATTAGCATAAAGTCAATCAATGAAAAGGAGGCATAAGCCACATTAAAATATGTCGGTAGTGAGTTATATAACCTAGAATACATAGAACGCATTAAACTACTCGTAAAGGCCAGCCACAAGACGAATTGTATGAATTATGCTTTTTTCGACACCTTGACTTTGTCTACTCAATCATGTACTATGTATTTAGGCAGTGACAACCAACAACATCCCCCATTTTGATTCATGTGTGCCATTGTCTAAGGTTCGATTGTGGCAGGGCTGACTCTAATATTTGCATGTTGTTCTCTATAAGTGCATGGTGTCGACGATGACATCGAACCATGTCATCGTCATAATAGTGTGTCATTTGTGAACGTTTGTCTAAATTGACAGTGTGTATGTGTTACTTTCGACGGTGAGGATGTGTTTTTGTGTGTGCTTTAATTTTGAAGTAATAAACACCGCGTAAATATAAAAAAGAATACCAAACCAATAATTAAACAAGTTAAAAAGCAGTAAGTTCGGCCGGGACGAACTTTGAATATCCTCCACAATTTGGAACAAATTTGGAAAATTTCAAATAATAAAGTCCTTAAAAAATTCTGTAAAAATGTTAAAAATACCGAATATAGCCTTTATATTGGGGTCTATACGACGTTTACCTACATAGGCCTTGTTTGTCATAAGCCATTACCATATTCAAATTCGAAACTTGAAATAAACGGTGAATAATGTAGCTAAAATCATCAAAATATCGTATATAGGGAGGTACCGTTATATCGGAGCTGTGCGAAGACCTGGACCAGCATAGACAATTTTCTGTCACAGGCTATAGCATCCATTACGAACGTCAAATACGACATCTCAAAAATTTCGGTGTGTATTGTACCTACCGAATATAGGGAGGTACTGATATATGGGGCCTATACGAAGACCTGTACCGGCATAGACAGTTTTCTGTCACAGACTGTACTTTCCATTACGCACTCTAAATACCTAATTTGAAACAATTCCGGTGAATAACGGCGCTAAAATCATAAAAATACCGAATTTTGGGAAGAACCGTTATATGGAGGCTATAAGAAGACATGAACCTGCACAGACAATTTTCTATCATAGGCTGTAGTATCCAATAGACTGTAGTTCCGGTGAAAATGTCGCTAAAATCATCAAAATACCGAATATAGGGAGGTACTTATATATGGGTGCTATATGAAAACGTGAACCTACATGGCCCATTTAAGAATTGAACCTGCCTACTGGAAAAATAAACACGTGTGCAAAAGTTTAGCCTTCTATCTCAATTCGTTCGAAAGATAGCGTGATTACAACAGACAGACAGACGGACATGGCTAAATCGACTTAGAATTTTACGCTGATCAAGAATATATATTCTTTGTTGGTTCTGACATGAGTATTTCGAGGAGTTACAAACGGAATGACAAAGTTAATATACCCTCCATAGTATGGTAGAGGGTATACAAAATATTCTTATTATTATTAGATGAGGGCTCATTCTCATTCAAATACAAACATTCATAGATATCTACAAATGAGTAGAAACAAGTAAAAAAGCTGTAAGTTCGGCCTGGCCGAACTTTTAATACAAAAAATTTGGCAATTTCCAAAAAATAAAATCCGTTAAAAATTCTGTTAAAATCTTAAAAATACCGAATGCTTATACGACAACGTGGGCCTGCATTGGCAACTTTTGTCATAAGTTATTACAATATTTATATGCGAAACTTGAAGAAAAATCTGTTTATAATGTAGCTATATCTGTTTATAATGTAGTTATATGGGGGCTATACAAAGACGTGGACCTGCACAGACAATTTTCTGGCATGGGCTGAAGTATCCATTACGAACTTCACATGCGAAATTTGAAACAATCCCGGTAAATAATGTCGCTAAAATCATCAAAATACCGAATATCGGGGCGTACGGTATATGGGGGCTATATGAAGACATGGACCTACATGGCTCATTTTTATATCCTCCACCAAAAAAGGTATTAAGTTCGTCATTCCGTTTGTAACTCATCGAAATAATCATTTTAGACCCAACAAAATATATATATTCTTCATCAGCGTAAAATTCTAAGACGATTTAGCCCTGTCCGTCCATATGTCCGTCTGTCCTTCTGTTGTAATCACGCAACAGTCAAAACGAATTAAGATAGGAAGCTAAAATTTCGCACAGATCTCTCTTATGTCTGCAGGCAGGTCAAGTTCGAAGATGGGGTATATCGGTTCACGATATCGTATAGCCCCCATATAATGGTACCCCCGATATTCGGTATTTTGATGATTTTACCCACATCTTTCAACGGAATTGTCTGAAAATCCACACAAGGAGTTCCTTGTGGGTACTTTATACCTCGGCAGAGAATTATCTATATAGGTCCACGATATCGTATAGCCCCCATATAACGGTACCCCCGATATTTGGTATTTTGATTATTTTATCCACATTTTTCAATGAAATTGTCTGAAATTCCACAAAAGGAGTCCCATGTGGGCATTTTACCCCCTCAAAAAGAATTGTCTAGATAGGTCCACGATATCGTATATCCCCCATATAACTTTACCCCCCCCCCCCCCCACCCCCCCCCCCCCCCCCGAATATTCGGTATATTGATGATGTTAGCCACATTTTTCAATGGAATTGTCTTAAAATCCACACAAATAGTTCCTTGTGAGTACTTTACCCCCTGAGAGAGAATTGTCTATACAGGTCCACGGTATCGTATATCCACCATATAACGGTACCCCCCGATATTCGGTATTTTGATGATTTTACCCACATTTTTCAACGGAATTGTCTGAAAATCCGCACAAGGAGTTCCTTGTGGGTACTTTATACCTCGGCAGAGAATTATCTATATAGGTTAACGAAATCGTATATCCCCCATATAACGGTACCCCCCGATATTCGGAATTTTTATGATTTTACCCACATTTTTTATCGGAAATGTCTGAAAATCCACACAAGGAGTTCCTTGTAGGTACTTTATGCCTCGACAGAGAATTATCTATATAGGTCCACGATATCGTATAGCCCTTATATAACGGTACCCCCGA